TGTGAAATGCTATAGTCACATATATGTCATGATATAATACAGACAATTTGAGAAAATATTTCAAAATGTCGAATCAGTGTCTATGTCCCTTTAAGAGTAACAGGTAACTTCACTTTTGAAAATAATTTTTCTTATTTCAGGAGAAGTCTCCCTTGTTAAAGATCAGCAACGGCAGATAAACAATGCATGATGCAATCTGCTCACTAAAAAGATTACAACAATACACCCCATGCATGTATTTCTACCTATCACCTATGTAACCTTTGTCATGCTCTTCAGAGAGGTAAGAAAACAAAATAATTATGAAAAAAATTTTTGGTAAAAGTGACACTTAGAGATCACATTTCCGCATAGATGCAATGATTTGTCAGGTTCGAATCTATAGAACAGCCCTGTCTCATCAGCATTGAAAACATATGCTTCATATACTTCAATTCAAGAAGTTTATTTTCCATTTACTTAATTACAGTGGATTTATTTACTCCGGCACTTTCACCACTAGGGCTGTGTCAATATATTGATTAATCAATACATATCGATATTCAGGAATTTATCGTATCGACAAACTAACTTCCAATACGTATTGGGAAGACAGTTTTTCTTGTAATTCTGTGAAAAAGTTGGGAATTTCAGTCACCAAAGATAATTTTTAACTGTTTTTAATTAAAACTGGTCAATAATAAAATAAACATTAAGGAGATAGCACATCTTAATTAACTATTGCAAAATTCATATACAACTATATTTTAACATATTAGTTTTTCAGTCATTAAAAGTTTGAATTTGAAGTGTTCTTTGTAAAGACAGTGAGACATATGAACTTCCAATTTGGTATTAAAACACCCAGTTTTTATCAAATTTATGCATTAAATGATTTACAAGACCTTTTTGCTAGACTTATTTAAGAATCCAATATATTGCATATTGCTTTATAAAATATCTTATCGAAATATTTTGGTCAATACACAGCCCTATTCTCCACACACCAATGTACACATGACACCCCTGCGTATTTTATCCATGTCGGTTTTAATGCCGTAGATAGAAAATAAAAATGGGGACTAATATGTTCCGGTGAGAAATGCTCAATTATTATTATTTTATCTATACAACACATATTAATTATATTTGTACAGGTCCACCAACATCAAATCACCTGTGAAAAATTAACACGTGCTAGACTTTATATATAGTCAGTCACCTGAGTCCATGCGTCGCAATCGGCAACTTCAATGTACCCGTTATCAAAACTGGTTCAGCAGACCCCAAAATCACTTCAAATTAACAGAGTTTTTCAAGTTAACCGATTTCAATCTAAACGAGTATTTATTGCAAAAAAACTGTACCAGCATTTTGATTTTATATAATCACTCTGGCGGTTGATTGAATTATTATTATGTTTTTCTTTGTTTTTTGATTTTGAGAGGCAGGATTTTGATAATTAGCATTTATATCACATGTTACTGTATATGAGCTCATGACACTGTACTTTGAAACTGTATGCAATATAACCACACAAACTGAAATTTAAATACAATGAAAAGACATCAGGATGGGTATACCAAAAGTATCGTTATAGAGTGAATAGAGAGTGAAATCTCTTTTGGAAGATATCTGGGATAAAGGTATATTTATTAAAAATAATTATTTTAATTATTATACCCCCATTCCGAAGGAGAGGGGGTATACTGTTTTACCCTTGTGTGTCTGTCTGTCTGTCTGTGTGTCTGTCTGTCTGTCCCTAACAAATATTTCGTCACAGTTTTCTCGGCAACTACTCATCGCAGATGCTTGAAATTTTAGCACACACTTTATTGAGGTATGCCATATGGTGGGATTCATTTTTGTACGAATCCAATGTCAACTTCCTGTTTATCCGTGTGTCTGTCCATACCATACATAACAAATTTTGGTCGCAATTTTCTCAGCAACTACTGATTGCAGATGCTTGAAATTTTAGCACACTCTTTGTTTAGGCATGTCATATGTTGGGATTCATTTTTGTACAAATCCGATGTCAACTTCCTGTTTATCCGTGTGTCTGTCCGTACCATACATAACAAATTTTGGTCGCAATTTTCTCAGCAACTACTGATTGCAGATGCTTGAAATTTTAGTACATTCTTTGTTTAGGCATGTCATATGGTGGGATTCATTTTTGTACGAATCCGATGTCAACTTCTTGTTCATCCTTGTGTCTGTCCATAACTGAACTTGTGTATATTCACATCAGAATGTATATTCACATCAAAGCGGGGGTATTACTAGTGAACATTGGCTCACAGACTTCTTGTTAATTTCAATTTTATAATTCACTTTAGCTTTGAAGGGTGGAGAATCATATATCTATTGTCAGATTTTTTATGATAAATGCTATTCTGTATGGGTCTTACTATTTGTGGATTTTTTTTCTTTGCTATATAAGGGCTATTTTGAAATTATAATGAGACATTTACTTTTACTCCATAAAAGAAAGACATAAATTCATGAAAATTTGTCAACATTTTCACAAGAACAAATAAAACAGCTATGCAAAATTTCTAATTGATAGGATAATTAGACATGTCCCATTGGAATTATAAACTTGCATATGTCTATTGACCTAAAGCATCATTGCTTCTTCATTTTCATCTCATGCCAGCCATAGATCTTTACCATGTTGAGACAGTCTGGAAGCTTTAATGCTTCTTTCTCTGACATCATAGAGACTACTCAACTGATTGAGATGAAACCTTTTTAGGGTTAACAGGCATGTTGTGTAGATGTGCAGAAGGAAGGTCATTTTACCCACACTTACATGCACATGCGTGCGCGTGCAAGGAGTGAAATGACTGAAGCAATTAAAACACCATTAACCTTCCTGTTTTTTTTTATGATATGCTTTGAACTTCATTGTATAAACTTATATTAGTGGTGTAGACAAGAAGAGGTGGTTGAATTAGCAAGAAAGCATGTGCATGCATGTGTGCTTTGCTCTGTTTGACTGACACAAAAAATCTCAATAACCTTTTTTTTTGATGAAATGCTTTGAAATTTAAAACATAGTCATACACAACAAGGCTCTACATTTTGATATAATATATGAGATATTGTGAAAACATGCTCATGCAAGTGTGCTGCAATTTGATTGGCTTAAACTTTAAATGGCTGTTACAGTAGTAACTTTCTTAGTTTTTAACAAAACTGGATGGAATTTACAATATAGATAGGTGTATTGGGTCTACATTGTGCTACTCTGAAAATTGAATGCAAGAACGTGGATTCTGATTTGCTAATACTTATATGGCTGTATCTCTCATTGTTTTCAATGAAAATCTTTAGATTTCTTACATAGCTATTTATTGTGAGTCTCTTCACGAGGAAGGAATATGAAATATTTAGAAAATATGGGCATTTGCATGCGCTAGGGGTGTAACGATACAGCAATACATCGATCGTATTGATCGCAAGGGCTGATGATACGCGTATCGCCATGTATGTATTCTGATACAGTAGAAGATAATTTTCATTGTTTTGTTTGTAACTTCTACATTCATCCTAACAAATTTTAATGTTTTAAAATGGCTGAAAAAAGGTAGCAAAGAAAAAATACAATATCAAGACTATAAATCCACCTTTTGTTAACTTTGATAAGGGTTATCAAGATATTCTTTGTATATTTTCTATAACTTTGGAGTTAGCAAAGAATTATATGTTAAGATAAAGCTTAATTCAATTGGTGACAGCTGTATCGTGGTACATGTTGTATATCACATGACCGTATCATGATATGTGTCATATTGTTAGGTAGTTTGCAATACTCAGGCCTAGCATGTGCTGAAATCCAATTGGCTAATACTCGAAGAACTATACCAGTGTTGTTTTTCGAATAAATACTACTGAAAATAAAGTATAGATTTATTAAACAAAAGAATTGCATAATTAAATGAAGCCTGTAATGAATGGGGCCAATAAGAGAATGGGGAAATGCTGGGGAACATCTGAAACAGTTCTCGTTACAGTTAGCACTAGTTGTTATTGTTTAAGCAGATCTTTTAGTCTGGAAAAGAGTTCTCCACAGAGCTACGTAAAATTCTATAGGTATGCTTGCTGTGTCGCATTGACGTCAAAATCTATTTTATTGATGTAATCAGATATCTATACCAAGCTTAGATTTTTTTATGATCTCCGTATTTCTGATTGAAATTCTAAGAAGCTTGCACAAAGTGAATTGAAATGAAATTGAAAAAATAAATACCGATATATAATTTGAATTATTTTCGCTCTTGCTGTATATTGGTCCACTGGGAGTTTGAACATAGGTATAACATATTTCAATATATGATTTCGTGACGGCACCGGGTACCCCTTCTATTTACCTATTAATATACCATTGAAAAGAAGAAATAAAATATTTGTAAAATATTTGTTGCTTTTATTAATTCTTAGTGTTTTTCAAACATATATGCCATTTTTCACCAAAAGGCATTACTTGGAAAGAAAAATAAACACTATGTACTAATAATCTCTTAACAGCCCTCATAATGCTTGTATCAAATAATATTTGACCATCTTAGATTTTCTTTTAATCTTAAATGATGCTGTTCATCAGGCGACACATGTGTTCCTTGGAACACTCTTTTAATTTTAGCTAGCAAGATTATTTGGACTTAAAAGTCAAGTTAATAATCTTTTAACAAACATTTTCTTCTGTCATGTTTAATTCATAGTCACTAGGCTACACTGAAATTTCCACTCATTGCTTTTCAGTCATCGACGGGAAAAGGAATTACCGGTAAGTTGACAGGACTTTCCACACTGTTCCTGGTAGCAGCTTATGATTGAATTGATGGTAGAAGACATGGCCCACTTAATCAAATGTAAATCTCATGGAATAGTGCTAATAGTACTGATATTTTTTTTTACTCTGTTTTGCATTGAAGCTTTAGGTCAAAGGCAAATTTTCTTTGTGTGGATTCTTTTATTCTTCTCAGAATGTGTGGCTGCTAATTGAGCCATAGCTGTCTGTTTTCTTTGAGAATCAAAGAATTGCAGCAAGTCTTCTAGGTTTTCAATGAAATTTCCTTGTTTTTCAGATAATCTGTATAGAGTGGCACCTTAACCACCACTGGTGAAATAGAAGATGACTAGTGGATGGTCATCACTTTGCAGCTCACTTTCACTTTCTGCAGCCCATCTCTTCTCATTCACAATCATTGTCTTTGGAGGAATGGTGACAGTGCAGTCCTCATGACTGGGCAGGTAACTTCCTTTCCTTTATTTCTCAGCTTTCACCTTTCTTACAAAATTTATTTCCATAGAACACTGCTACAATATTCTTCCTCTAAGAACACAGTATATGTCACTTGGGTAGCAGCTTAGAATTGGGTTTTCCCAATGGCACTGAAGGTGGCATTTTGTATTGAGCATCTCCTTCCACTCTGATACGTGTATCAGGAGTTCCCCATTTTTCATTTAGATCCTGAATGTTCTGTTATATATTCATCATGCTGGTCTTCTACCCCCACAATAAAGGTTGGGGGAATATATAAGAATCACCTTGTCAGTCTATCGGTGCCAACTTGTTGGTCATTGGAAGCTCAAACTTGGTACAAAGAATGTTTATGACCTGTTGGTGTGTCAAGATCTTGACCCAAGGTCATTCCAGCTAGTTCAACAGGGTTTGACACTAAGGCATGTTTGACCCAGTCTAGTAAATGAGTAGTCCAGTCGTGTAAAAGACCAATTGGTCGTATTGATAAAATAACTGTTGAACCCCCATTTCAGTCCTTCAAATAAATTATCTAAAAACTTTTAAAGAAAGGACAAGGTATGGTAATGGCCGAATCTGGCCCCTTATTTGATGTAAAAGTCAGAACACAGTTAACTGTTGCAACATTCTAAAAGACACCCCAAACCAGGGGCCAAAAAGGGATCTTAGCCTATCTTATCCTTTCTTATATGTTAGATTGTAAACAGTCATTGCTCTGTAAAGAAAAAATCCCCACATGTCCCAATCACTATTTTTAGCCACAGCTGTTATTAACAAGTCAAGGGCAAAACTACTTTTGTTCAGTACAATGTTTCAATATGATGTAAATAGTTAAGTTTAGTATAGTTTTAAACTAATTTATTAATATTAACGATAATTATTTTATGAAAGTTTGTTGAATCTTTAAGGCTTATATTGCTCAAATGTCCTGATGAACCCGACGTGATTGGCGGGATCCCATCAAACAGTCTGTCAAAATTCAAGGTCACTGACAGAAATGATATAAATTCTTGTCCAGGATATCAGTTTGCAACAGAGAATCATTGAAGCTCATTCTTGGTACAAAGATTATTGAAGACCTGAGAGTGTGTCATGACCTTGGCCCATGGCAATTCTGGCAAGTTCAAGGTCACTGGCTTAAAAGGTATAAAACACTTGTGTAGGCTGTAACTTTGTAATGGAGAATCATTGGAAGCTCTTACTTGCTACAGAGATTGTTTATGACCTGGACGTTTGTCTTGACCTTGACCAAGGTCATTCTGGCAAGTTCAAGGTCACTGGCAGATAAGAGATAACATTCTTGTCCAGTCAATAACTTTGTAACTGAGCTTTAATTTGCTACAAAATTTTTTTTCTGACCTGAGGGTCATTGTGACAAGTTCAAGTTCAAGGAGAAAAATTGGATGTCCATATTTCACTCTTAGATTAATCATGTCCAAAGATCTGTCTTTTTTTTTTATCAAAGTCATTTTGGTAAGTTCAAGGTCACATTTACACATTCTAAATAAAAGAATTGCAGCAGGGTTATAACCTTATTATTTTGTTAGCTCGCTCAAAGCTCCTTTAGCTGACATAAGTGATGTAATAATTTTTCTCACTTTGTTTCAGGTCTACTGCATGTTGACAGCTGATACTTGTTCTCTATTTACTCCGAGAGGCCTACTACACATTGTACCTCAGTTATGACTGTACTCGTGCTGGCTTCTATGATGTTAATTTCCTTTACCTGCACTGCGTTAAACTTGGTCAATTCTGTTACTGTCGAACACCAACAGATGAAAATAAGATTTAGCTGATCCTGCCAACATTGTGACATAAGCGGTCCAATGTCCAATATCTCACTCTGCAGTCAAACATAATTTTTTTTGTATGAACGCTCAGTAAAACATTGGAAATGTTAGACTTTTTTAGTATTGATTTATATAGTTACATATTTTTAAAATAATAACAATTCTTTTTATTGATGTATGTTTAAGTATGCAAAAATGAACATTGATGATATTAAAGGTGAGGTATTTATTTGTGATTTATCTTCTGAATAAAATTTTATATCAATAATTTATGCTCTTGTTTATACAAACTGCAAATGAGGCTTTCTATTCATTAGGAACTGGACCCATAATTACTTCCTTAAGGAGGAATGCCACACCAAAATTTAATTCGATTGGTCTTAAGACATCCATTTAAGGAAGCTCTAAACGCTTTCTGGGCTTTGAGAAAAATATATCATATAAAGGTGCACATATTCAGTATATCAAGTTCATTTTCAACATAAAGTACCTGCCTTATTTCTGCAGAAAAAATGTTCAAAGACAATGAACTATTTGTGAACAGAAATCAGAAATGTTTTTTACTTTGATCAGGAAAATTAATGGAAATAATGTATTCAATTACTTAATCTTGGTCTAACATAACATTAAGAATACTTTAATTCATAAGAAATTGTGTCATTAACTGTAGATTCCCATTTATGCTATTTTTCTTCTAAGGGCAAATCACCCAATAAAACTACCCTACAAATAGAACTCTTTAGTGTGCAGTGTTTAGAGCTTCCTTAAGTCATGGTTTCAGCATTGAAAGGCCTAGCTCTTAATTATGTTAAGAATATTTATAAGAATTTTCTCCAATTTTTCATAGAAAATGAAAAAAATGTTTTATTTGCAAATAAGATGCTTTATAGTTAAAAATTTGATGTTAATGAATGCATAATATAAATATCTCATAAAATATGTGAAGAAAAGCCAGATAGACATTTTAATTTTTTTACTAAAATTTTTTTTCGGAAAAGTACATTATTTGTGAATATTTTCAAAACATATGGATAATATATTCAAAAAACAAGTCACAGCTACAAAGGATATGTTAGACAATCATATTTGAAAAAGAAATTGAAACGAAATTGCGAAATTTTAGAGAAATTATTTTTTACAAATTTTAGCCGATCCCGATCGAAATTAAACTGATCCCAACCAGAATTTTATAATAATTGATAATAGATAATATTTTCAGAAGAAATACAAGTTTGTTAAGGTGTAATACGCGTTAAAAAGTAATTGAACTTGATAAATAAATGAATTTCTTAGTGAAGGCAATAATTTCATCTTATTTATTTTGTGTTAATTTTGATCGGGATTGGTCTAAATATTGAAAAAAATAGTTTTCCTAAAATTTTGCAATTTTATTTCAATTTCTTTTTAAAATATGTTTGACTAACATGTTCTCCATAGTTCTGACTAGTTTTATGAAGATTTTATCCATAGGCTTAAAAAATATTCACAAATAATGTGTTTTATTTTCATAAATAAATTTTTTACTTAAAAAATTTAAATGTCTATCCAGGTTTTCTTTAGATATTTTATTACACATTCATATTATGTAAAAATTTGTTGTTTATATCAAAAATATTTGTAAGAAAAAGCTTTCCAACAACTACATGTGTAAAAGTTTTTGGTTAGCAAAGATGCATTTCATGCGAGAGGCGCACCAGTCATTGTCGGATTATTTTTTTGTTTAATATTCAATGGTATTAAGCCGATATCTGTACCGGTAGGTACGCATATCCCAAGATGACGTCGAGCTTGACAGGTTCATGAGTTTACACCGTTTGATTTTGTTATTTTTGTCATATTTCCTTAAATGAATCAAAGTGAATTGTAGATATATTGAGTCTTAACAATTAGCTAGCGACAAGCAGAGTTGAATAAAACCGCCAAATAAATTATATATCTCGTATGAAGGTGATAAGCGTACCTTGATGTTTTGGACATAAAAACCATGTGTAAATGATATCGATACCTGCTAGTTTTATTTTTTTCTAATTCTTTGCATTTTAACAATTTGCGCATAAATGTATCTGTCAAATATTTCACAGGAACGTAGCATCGTTTTTGAAAAAAAGGGGGGTTGTGGCAGCAAGAGAAAAAAATTCAACATACTCGAAAATCCTATTTCGTGGGAGGTGTAAGGGGGGAGGGTAGGTGTTCCATCTTTCAGTACCAAATTTTATTAATACATTACCCTGAATTGACTATACTGCAACAAAAAAGGGGGAGCTGCCCTTTCAATGAATGAAATATATGTAGATAACGAACGGTATTCAAGCTCAAATGTCCATTAAACAATACAAATCGGGAGCAGAGCAAACACGGACCTCTAAAATGTCAGAGGTGGGATCAGATGCCATGGAGGAGCGAGCATCCCTTGCCGACCGGTCATACCCGCCGTGTGCTCCTTGTCATGATCGTGAAATACGGAAAAATCCGTCGACAAGGAACCTTTGCAATCGTGAAAAGTAAAGTTTGTAGTTTCAAGTCTGTAACAATGTTTTTTAAGGTGGAGAGGGGTTGAGCCTCAGGAAAACATTCAGGATTTTTTTTAAATGTTAAAAAAGCAAAATGTTTACAAGCAATAAAGGGAAATAGGCTGTTGACTATTTTACAAAACTTAAATTCTTAAAACTGAGAAAGGAGGGGGAGGGTGGTGGTGTAATACTCTCATTTTCTTTTCTGCACGAAATATATTCTGTACAATACGGTGCAAGCGGTTCAACGCTACCACAGAAAAGTGTGGAAAGTGTGTGTTTGGGGGGGGGGGTCTCAGATAAAATAATACCATGCATACAGGTGTATCTGCAAAAGACAGATGAATCCAAATCCAAATCTTATGTAGAGAAAGAATACATATTCTTTTACATGTACCGGTAAATACAATGTATAAAAATGTTTGTTTGTTTGTTTGCTTAGTTGTTTAACGTCCCTTCGAGAATGTTTCAATCATATTGAGACGCCAACACTTGCTGGTGGCGGGCTGCAAATTTAGACCTGTACTCGACACTTGCGGCTTTTGAGCAGAGAGAGATCTTTTTCGTGCCAGCATCTACTGCGATAAGGGACTTCGGTTTATACGGTCTTATCCTAAGGACCGGTCTCCACCTTATACAGTACGGAAATAATCCATACATTGTAAAAACAGTTTAGAAATGAGGCAAAAATGATACTTATATACATTTTTGTATGCTACGAAGAGATGCAAAAACAGATATATTCGAGGTGCCGTAACATATTTGGAGATTCGACCGTACATTATTTCGCCTACCACAATATCGAAGTGTATGCTTAAATCTTTGATAAAGTCCCAATATTTAATTACATTGTGACCCATATTCTTTTTCTTGAAATGTTGGGTTTTCTTTGGTGATTATTCAGATTTTGAGCGCTTGAATCATTTCCTTTGATTTAATGTATTGTATAAAGTTATATGTTGCAAATTTCTCTCTGCTTTATAGGTTTAAAGACTATATGTATATATCTTCAAATCATTTTAATGCACTAGCAGATTGAAGGGATATATAAGTATATCTATAGATGTAAACTCTCGAAGCTGTGGAGCTTTTCGACATCTGAGGATACATGTATGCGTACCTACTGGCACGGATATCGGCTTAATACCACTGATTTCGGTCACTGGAGGAGAGATTTTTTATACATGTATTTTCAAGAACAGATTCTTTATTTCCAAAATCTGCCAGCGCCCCCCTCTTAATTACCCCCCCCCCCCCCCAATAGAATGAAAATTGTCGTGCCCTAAAAGATATTGATGATTTCTTTAAAAGAATAGATTGGATAGAAGTTTCTAATCTGAATTAAATTCAAACTATTCGGAAATTGAAATTATTATTTGTTTTCTGCATCAAGCGTATGAGAAAAGCAAATTTGGATTGAAAATTAACTTCAAGCTAGAATTTCAATCAATTTTTCTCAGACGTCCGACACGAATTCGCTTTCTATCACCAAATCATATGCGGCTTTTCCCCAACCAACTCAGAACCAGCAGCATACTTTGTACATATCTTAGGACTATCTTAAGATACGTCTTTGGATGTAAAACAAAAGCATCTTAGGAATATCTTTAGTTAAGAGGTCGTAATTTGGGAGGGGGGGGGCGTGGTCATGGGATCCGGTCCCCTTGGAATTTTTAGAGTTGTTGAAATGATATTAATAGTAAACCCAATCCCTCTAGAAAACACGGACCCCTGTTACAATGGCATAGAAAGTCACATACATTTATACATCTTCTGTATATCTATAAAGGCAAAGCGATTTAACACCCCCTCCCCCCTCCAAAACGAAATAGCTATATAAGGTATGGATAAGTTTATGGTTTTTTATCCATGCTTGACAATAATGTCTGAGTCTTCTTTTTTTTTTGAGTGCGCGGCTCTGTACCCTCCTCCCCTCTCCGGAAAATGCCTGTATCCGCGCTTGATATGTATTGGTAATAATAAAATGTTTCAGAAATTTTATAAATAATCGCTATTCCTCGATTTTCATTTCAAATTTTTTTATCAGGTTTGTCCATTCTTATCCCGTTTTCATGTATTGAGCTGTAATAGATATAATAGAGAAATAAAATAAAAAAAAAAAACAGAAAAGAAAATCTATATGCAATTTTTAAAAAAAATATTTATATTAATGGATAAGTCAATTTGAAAAAAAAATTGAAGCATTCCCTTTTTGAATAACAATAAAAATTAACATTATAACATTATGATATATTTATAATTCACATATAAAGAACAATTGAGATTAGTAATAAGATTTATTTTCAAAATGCCACTTCTTGCGGATGTTCGTCCCCAGATGTAACAGACCCCCCCCCCCCTCCCTCTCTCTCTGTAGAAAGGTTGGAGGTAGTGCCCGTCTGCATCCGCGCCGTAGTCACGCTTATGAACGTTTTAACCTGCTACATGTTTCATTCATCAATTAATAAATGTATTTTCATTTATCACTGTCTCTTTTCTATTTGTACGGTTAAATGCATACATATACAGTGACACGGCACAGTGTCTACTTAATTGATTTAATTCATAAAAGAAATTAATATTTTTACAAAAACTATTGGATTAAATTATATAAGCTCTGTAAATTCAATATATTCTAGTTGTTTTCCTGGCACCAGCGCTTCTGATATCATTTAGATATGTCTTAGGATAAGCACATCGTCGTCTTGAAGTTAGGGCAAAGATAAGGAAGTCTCCTAAGATAGGATAGCATCGTTGC